CCACATACAGACCGGTTCCCGCTCACTGGCTGAGCGAGGTGCGGGCACAGCACCGAGGGTTGTGATCCCATTGCCGGTCACGGTCCGGTACAGGCGCGACACTGAGGGTTGCGATCCGTTGCCGGACATGACAGAAAGGAAAAAAAAAATGTTGTGAAAACTCTAACAGTTTGGAGATATGAGAAGAGTCAAAATTTTATACCTTTCAGTAGCCAGAAACTGCATAATTCACCATTAACATACATGTAAAGACAGGTCATAAGACTACATTCAATCTCCTCAGGATTTGTATCATCTTTTCTGAAATATTTGCTTACACTTCAAAACGTATATTTCTCTGTGTAGAAAAAAATTAAAGAAAGGGGTTCTGTTAAGGTTCAACTTACCATAAATGTGTCCAGTGTAAATATGAGAGGTATCATAATCAAGAACTTTATTTGATGTTTCTACTTTAAATTCATCACTAAAAAGGGAAGTGTCCCTCTTCATTCGTAGGTTGAAATGTCTGCAAAATGGGATTGGAAGGGGGGAAAAACTGAAATTAAAAGGATTTCAATTTTAAACATTTATTTTTTATTTTTTAAAAAAGTTGCAAAATGTGGACTATGTGTGTGCAAAATAGACACAATTTGTCTATTTGGGAAATATATTGATCAAGATTTTCTTATAAAAATTCTGCACTAAAACTTAACCTAGTAGCTGTGATACAGATACATTAACTGTCAAGGATATATTAAAAAATAAATGCCCTATAGACTGATTCCTATGCGGTAAAACAAGATCGTTTTAAAAGCAACTAAGTTACTCGAAGATAAAAAACAAGCTTCCTGACTCAATTACTATTATTCACCACCACCTACCTTCCCTCTCAGTAATTCTGCAGCTTTGCCATTTTCTTCTACTTCCCACAACTCAAATAATACACAGGAAAGTGGCATCTATATCAGATATCCAAAATCTCTTCTCAGAAAGACAAGTGTGCATGCTCTTTCTTTCATACACACTACACACATTTTCAAATCCTTTATTTTCCCTGGGACTTCTAATTCTTGCACAACATATTTAAACCTTCCTCAATTAAATTTGGGAACCACAAAAGACCAGGATATTGGGAGAAATCATAGTCATTCTAACTGTCCTTTATAAGGGAGAGGGAAAGACCAAAACACTGAAGTGAAATTAAAGAAACAAGAACCTAGGGTTTAGAATCAGACTTGGAATCAAATCTTAAGCCTATAAATTACTAGGCTCAGGATTCTTGTTTGTGAAATGTAAACAATAAATTCTATCTACTTTGTAGGATTATCTTAAGTATTAGAGATTATAGTGTATGTATAGTCATTAACAATGTATCTGGCACATAGGAGATGTACAATAAATGGTAACAAATTAGCTATCGTTACTAAATTCTTAAAAGTATATCAAATCTTTTATAATTGCCATAAAGGTCTACACGTAAATAAATTTCTGCTCAATGTTTTCCTGACAAACACAAGAGTACTTCAAAAGTTCAAGGAAAATTTTACATCATCTTTTATTTTTCCACAAACCTTTTAAAGTACCCTCATACAACAAAAATTATACTCTGCCTTCTTTTTGTTGTTTTTTTTTTTTAACAAATATACATTTTGAAGAATACTGTAAGAACTTTACTATTTAAAACACTTGATAAAAATATGTAACACATTGAGTGGTATGGGGAAATACATTCATTGTACATATTCGTGACGTTAATTGGTACAATCTCTATGATGGCAAAACTGGTAAAAACAATCAAAATTACAAATGCACATAGCCTTTGATATAGGAATTCCACTTCCAGAAAATTACCTTATGCATACTTGCACATAAGTGAAATTACTTCCACACTATAAGACTATGGTATGATAAGAAATATAGTTGGCCTTTGTCCCAAGTTCCTGGCACAGAGCCAAGAAAAACACACCAAGACACACCAGTCACTGCTGAAAACCACTGCTAAAGAGAAAATCATAAAAGCCACTGAGAAAAAACAACAACAACATTACATTCAGGAGGACAAAGAATGACTGCTGATTTATCATTAGAAATAATGCAAGCTAGGAATTATTGGAACAGCTTTTTTTTAATGTTGAAATAAAAACAATGTCAATCTAAATTCTATATCCAATAAAAAGATCATTCAAAAATAAATTGCCAATGAGGAATGAAAAAGAAGACATCACTAACAGTTCTGCAGATATTTAAAAAGTAATAGAGAAATATTATAAACTTATTAAAAAATAAATTCAATTATTTAGATAAAATGAACAAACTCCTTAAAAGGTACACATTATGCATTTTTCTGGTTGGAGTCGGGGCAGTGGGCTGGTACAGGGATCAAACACAGGACATTGGTGTTATCAGTGCCATGCTCTAACTAGCCAACCCAAAAGAAACACTTTATATGTACTGGCCAGCCATTTAGGAAAAAAAAAAAAAAAAAACCACCAGGGCATTGTTTTTTTCCCATACTACCCAGCAGCCAAAAAATTTTAAATAAAAAAAATGG